TAACCAATCTCCCTTAATCGTTTCCAATTTTCAAGTTGATTTTTAAAGATAACGTTTTTTTTTTTATTTTATTTTTTTTTTTTTTTGTTTTTTTTTAAAAAAAAAAAAAAAAAAAAATACATAATGATATTATAATAAAAATGATGTTAAGGATACCCCATTTATTATATGATTTAGGTTTACAAAGTTCGGATCATTCCCAATGCAAAAGTTTATTTAAATGGTTTGTCTTTAATTTGGTAAAGAAATGCTGAAATTGGTCCTTTAAAAGGTTATGTTAGAAATATTCATCAGGTTTAAAACAGGTAATCTAAATCCATCAGTTTCATCCGGACGTTACATCAAAATAATAAATTAGGGTCATATTTACATTTCATTTTCTTTTCAGCGTGTATCCTCTACACGTTTTCTTTTCGTTACCATTCTCGATTTCTTATTCTCTTTACTTCTACAACGGTTTCTTTCTTTTCTCGTCGCGTCGTTTTTCTCTCCGTCTAATCACAATAGGTGAAATTTATTTAAATAAGCGCGCGTAGAAAACAGGATATTTATTAAAAAAAGGTTTGAACATTAAGTAAAATTTGTATATTCGATTTGGAAAATCAAGCGAGTTTATTATAATTATTTACAAGCATTGTCATTGTAATTTATTATCACAGTATTTTAGAATAATTTCTCTTCATTTTAACGGATTCACTCGAATAAAAAAAAATTAGTCATAAAGCATACTTCTATCCTAAATTTTCATTATGAATATCGACATTTGGATGTATAGCCAACACTGTCCGACTTGATTGGTCATCAATAGGTAAATCTACATCATCCGATTCCTCGGGATCCATTTCATCATCCGCAAATGCGGTCTGTCCAATTGGTAACAACCACTCATCCTAATTTTATTATTAATGATGAATCAAAAAATTAGTCAATCCATATTATAATTAAAAATACGTATATTAATTAGCAACAGTTACCTTGATTAATTGTTTCACCACTTTCTTAAATTTTGTCTCTTTCGTTGAGAATGATTCCACAGTCAATTCACTTTCATGTTCTTCCATACACCATTGGATTAATTCGCCTTCTTCGCATGCTGGTTTAAGTAAAATCAAAAATACATTAATATTGTACAAAGTTGAAATTGATAAAATTAGTCAAACTTACATCCTTTCACTTTTAATCTAGATATGATTTTGTCTCTGATCTTTGTAAATTCTTCGAAAGTGATGCTATTGTCAGATCTACTCGGACGTTGTGGAGTCGCTTGATTCGAATTCGAGTCACCATCGTTATCTACTTCCATTGTATCATCATTTTCCGGATTTACATCGTCATTATCCATTTGGTCATTTACTTCTTCTTCATCCTCATCTAACAACAAATCATCATGATAGACATGAATTATGGATTGCTGCAAAAGGTTACATGCTTCATTTACATATTCCGGTATTATCTATAAATAAAACAATTAGTTTAATTACATAATTTTTAAATAAAGACAAAATCATTGGAATGCCTCAAAAACTCACCTCATTATTACAATGAGCTTTTGCAATGGCTTCAGACAAACGTATCATGCTTTCAAGTTGGCGAACTGTAATGCGATAAGAATTTCTCCCAGCACCGATCGCATCATCTTGTCGAAGGTCTCTATATTTTTCGGAAAATAATTTTGCAGCCGCTGAAGTGATCTTTTAATTTTTAAGTTTAATATACTTGGTTAATTATAGATAAATGTATTTTTTTGCTGCAAGATGCTCTCTCTATATATATACCTTTGGTTTGAAAGTTCTCGCGTAACGGATATATCTCTGAAGTTTGGCGGTATCGAAGTGTGGATTAATATTATCATCTCCATGTCGATGAGTTCCAACTATATAATTCGCAATCATCTTGTCTACATCTGGTTTACACTCGTCAAGTACAACAAAGAATAAATCAAATCTAGACATGATAGGGGCTGACATAGCAATATTTCGCTAAAAAAAAAATTAAAAAAAAAAATTTTTTCAATATAAATTCTATTTGTTATTTCGCATTTATACTTTATCAATACGTACTCTAAGTGTTAATTTTCTATTGTAACGTCCATCCCTGGGATTCGCAGCTGCCAAGATAGAAGTCCGAGCGTTCAATGTTGCATGGATACCAGCTTTGGCAATGGTGATTGTTTGTTGTTCCATTGCCTCATGGATAGCAACCTGATCAGGTATATCCATCTTATCGAATTCATCGATTGCGCATATCCCCTGTTTAAGTTAAAGTCATTTTAAGTCTCAAATGCTCGCAAAAGATACTTCATAACTGTTAATTATTTCTGTTAATTACATTATCTGCCAACATTAGAGCACCAGCCTCTATGGTAAAATCACCGGATTCTTCATCTTTAACAACGGCTGCAGTCAAACCGGCAGCGGAAGCAGATTTGCCGGATGTAAACACTGAACGAGGATTCATCACACAGGCATATCTAAACAATATAGGACAATGAATGAGCAGAATAGTAAAAATAAATAAAATAATATACATTCAATAAATAATACTTACTTGAGGAATTGGCTTTTACTGGTGCTAGGATCGCCAACAATACACACGTTAATATCTCCTCTTAATTTAATTCCTTCCGGAGTAATTTTGTGAACACCACCCAAAAGTTGAAGTAGTATCCCTTTTTTTACGATTTCGTGCCCTAAGACATAAATAAATATAAATTTCCTCTTCAATTAATGTAGTTAAATAAGAAAGAATAAAGGAATTGACTACCAACCAAAAACTGATGGAGCTATACTCTTAACAAGTTTTTCAAAGATATTTTCATCTCTGCTCATATAAATCAACTCGTTTTTTTCATCATCCGTAAGCAATGAAATAAATGTTTTTTGATCTTCATCAACAGTCTCATATTCCAGACTCCCAAGCGTCTTACCGAGCTATAAATTGCAAGATTAATTATAACCAATCGGCAAAAGGTTACGAAAATGGACCCATTTGTTAAAACTGTTTTTTTTTGTTATATATAATATGAGATTATTAATTTCTTAAAAATTCTCTATTTTTTTTTTGTTTACCTTGACATTTTCGGTATGTACAGTACATGCCATGAAAGATATTTTATACGACAAGTCTCTAGCACCAAGAGCTTTTAAACCGGTAACTCCTTCGCGAGATAACCCATCAGCAAAAGTACGATTGCTACGATTATCACGTGATACTTCCGCACCAGTGCCTGGAATACCAAGTTGATTGATATCCGGGATAACAAGAGGAGTACCCACGAATATACATTTATTACCGGGCTTTGCCTTTTCAACCATTTCTTGTCGAACAATCACTTCAAGGCTTGATAAATTTTACATTGGTCAAACGTAAGTAACTTTATTAGAATAGAATAGATAATCAAGCATTCTTTCATAACTCACGTTCGAGGCATGCTTCCCGTTGGTATTTCATTGGGATTTTCTTGTATGCGAATTCGTTGCCAATCTGTAAAAACGGAATGATCGCTATCAAGAACCCACGCAGTACGATTGTTACAGGTAGGAGTTTGACACATGGGAGGCTATAAGAGAAATTCACGCTCAATAATCGTAATAAATACACTTGAATCAGTCATGGAAAAGAACCCATATAAACACCTCAGTATATCTGAATTGTTGTTCCACGTTAGGAACATCAACTTTACATTCCTGACAAGTAAACTTTCCGAAAAGCAATTCTGGTCGTACTTCACTAGTTCTTGTTACAGTACCGCTAATACTCATTAGACATCCTATTCTTTCAGTCTTTATCTCCCGGATGCGATGTATGGTTGGCATGTCATGAAAAGCTACTAAATAATCAAGAGCGTAAGACCTTTCTAAACTTTCCCTTGCTGCTTCACCTTCATCCATTTTTTTTCGTTTTTTATTAACTGTCCTGAGGAAGACGTCATCATCTTGATCCGCGTCAAGATCATTTTCATTTTTATTATTTGAGATTTTATCTTCGTTCGGAAAATACTTATCGACAAGGATTTCAACTGCTTTACGAAGATAAGGTTCAATCCTTAAAGAAAACAAAGGTTCATGAGTATAATTACGAAATAAATATCTGAGATTTATAAAATATAAATACCTATAGTATTGATATAATATCGCTTGCCATAATGTTTGGGTATCTTCCCAATGAAAAATATCACTAAAATTCACATATAATACGTGTCTGTCTTCATGAACCATATTTTCCAATTGTTTAAGGTATGGTCTAAATTCTAGTATTTCATTTTTACTCTCGAAGCTACAATAACAGATTTACAATTTAGTTTTACATAATAAACGTTCGCGTTTTTCTGAGGATATGAACATACTTTTCGATAAATTCGATAAACAAATATCCAAACTCTGACGCAAATTCATCTTTTGCTTTTTGTATTCCTTCAAATATCTTTTTTTGTCTGGGAACGCCTTTTTTTACGACTTCCTCAGCTTCGCCGCTTCTATCAACATCCATTATTTTGAAGAGAGAGAATAGGTAGTAAAAGAAAAATACGTAAAAATTTTAGACAAAATATAAAAAAAGAAGCGCGTATTAGCAGTATGATAAATTCCATTGCCTATCAATCACTATTCAATAAACGTGTCGGACTCTCAAAAATAGCAAATTAACAGGATGTTAATCAAACAAATCAGGTTTTCAATTACGATAATAGGATTACATGATTTTTCATAATTTTTTTTTTTTTAACGGTTGAGGCACAGCTAATCGATTGATCTTTCCATGATCTCATCATTTGTTTATTTAACATCCATTAGATTTCTTGATCTGCAAAAGTTTAGATGATCTCCACGGAAATCCAAAAACAGTTACCAAAGCCATTTGATTTTTAAACAAATGATTTTTTATGGGCCGACCAAAAAAAAAAAAGGTCAAAGTTGACCTTTAAATTTCGTTCTCAATAAAGCTTATTTCCGACCTGTTGATGATTTTTTATCTAGCAACAACGTGAGAACAAAACGTATGAAATGGCTTACGCTCAGGGTTTCAACGCAAGCGGTCAATTTCTGGAAGAGACTTCTGCAATTGAACAGGGCATTCACAAAGCTGTGATTAATATTGATCGTATTCAATCGCTGCAATCTCATATTTTAGTTAGCACCTCAACTGAAAAAGAAGGTTCATATGGAGAGGAACGTGAGACACTCATGACTGAAACAAAAAATCTACTGCTTGAGCTTAAGGACCTAATAAAAAAGATCGAATATGAAAATGCTCGACTGCCGAAAAATGATCCCAATTTAGGTCTCCGCAAGCATAAATATGAAAATCTTCGTGAAAAGTTATCCAACGCACTTGATGAATATCGAAATGTTGAAACTACTTACATGAGACAACAAAAAGAACGGATGGCTCGTCAATATCGGGTGGTTAATCCTGAGGCAAGTCAGCAAGAAATAGATGATTATTTGGCTTCTGATCAACCAGTATTTCAACAAGCTGTAATACGCTCTGATGAAGCTAAAGCTGCATTAGATGATTTGCAAAAACGACATGGTGATATTAAGCAAATTGAACAAACTATTTCAGAGCTATCTGTTCTTCTCCATGAAATGCAATTACAAGTAGAAGCACAAGATCCTGTACTTGTATCTGTCGGAGGAGATGTGAATGAAACTTTGGTGAAAGCTGGAAAGGGTAACTATATATATATATTTGGTTTGAACTGTTTATTATATATTTTATTTTAATTAAACCTTATAAACAGCGAACGAAGAATTTATTGAAGTTGCAAGAAGTGCCAGAAAGAAAAAATGTATTTTATTTGGAGTCATTATTATGACTGCTCTTATTATAATTATCGCGATCATAATTAAATTTTTCAGCATGTATAGTAATAATTCTGCTCCAATGTCATTTTTGTAAATATCTATACCTACATTAGTTCAAACACAACAAACTTCTATTATTTATTTGCAATATAATTAAATTATTATTTTAAGGTAATTGTTAATTTTATAGGATGGTTTATAAGTAAATTTACATAATTGATCTATTTTGTAAATATTTGTAATTAAATTATAATATAAATGAAACCTGTTTTTAAAAATATATATATATATTTTGAATCTATTATTAGATTATTAATATTTGATAATTTAATATTTTAATTTATAATATTAAAATCAACAACATTTTGTTTTGGATTTTATATTTTAATGATTTAAAAACAATATTATTTCTTTTTATTAATTATCAAATCTAACTCTTATATTCTTGATTATTCAATCTTCAATTTCAACTATCTGTATTAAGTCATGTAATTGTAATTTCAATTATATCTTCTGTATTTCCATCTTCTTTTTTCCTTTTATTTCTATTTGCTATTTTCACATTTCTTTACTATTTTTTAATTTAAATTCATTATACTATAATTTTCTTCAGTTACATCACTAAATTAATCTAACAAATTATTTTGTTAAATTAAACTAATTATATAATTACACTATCCTATAAAAGTATTCGGTCAATCAATTAAAATTGTAATTTATTATAAATATTATAAATATTTAATATTTAGTTAGCCATCCTTAACTTTTAATATATGCTTCAATCTGATATAACATATTTTCAATTAAATTAATATAAATTTCAGATAGAATTCTTTTTATTCTTCTTATAATGCTTTTTTCAATTCATAAAAATTCTTTGGATATACAGATTATTTTCAAAGTTTTTATTTCAATTTATGTTACAAATGTTCAATAGGATTAAAGTTTAAAAATTAAGAAGTCCAATCTAAAAGAATTTTAATCTTTTTCTATGTAATCCAATTTTTAATATTTTTGTGATATAAATGGACTGATTTTTCCTGATTGTTCGTTGATTTTTTGTATTTCAAAAAAAGCTTTGTTAATTATTATAGATAAATCAATTTCACAATTATTAAATAGTTTATTTTTTATCATTTTATAAATTTTTGTTATCACTAACATTTATAAAATTATAGGAATACTGTTATTAATTGATAAAATAGATGATTAAATTATTTAAAAGAATTCAATAAGTTCTTTTACTAAATATTATAAATAATAAAATGTTTGTAATATTTATTTATCTAATGATCAAGTTGAAGCTTTTTATTAATAATTTATCTAAGAAGCCAAAATTAGAATCAAAATTATAGCTTATAAAATAGAAGAGTTTCATAATCAATTTAATTAAAAGTTCTTATTTAATAGTATATTTTTAAATTAAATACTTTTATGAATAGATTTCATTTTTTAAAATTTAGTTTCTTATATTTAAGTACTTTTGTATATTAAGAAATCTTTAGAAGCATTTGAATAATTTCTATAAAGTTAAAATAAAAATTTATTTATTTTATTACATTAAAAAAATATTCACAAGATTTGTTGCTATGTATTCAAGAAATTAAAGATATTTGAAAATAATATTTATAGTAATTTTTGACTAATAAAACTATTAATTGATAAAGAGAAATAAATATTAAAAATGTTTGATTAGCCAAAAATTTGTGATTATAATAATAAAATTAGAATATATTTATACAAGTATTTTAATATAAAATTGTCAAGTATGTAAAAAGAAAAATTAGTTATTACTATTCTTATTCTTTTAATTAATATAACATTACAATTTCATCTAAATCAATCGTATAAAATTTGTAAATAAATTTAAAATTTATTAAAATATTAATAAATAAAAAAATTTATTACTTATCATAAATAAATATACAAAACTATATATTTCAAATTATATTTTATAATTTACGATCAAATATTATCTTAAATATGAAAAGCAAAAATTCTATATACAGTAGCATTATTCTGATAATCTAATTTTATAATATTATTTCTATACATAATTAAATTATAGTATTTAATATGATTAAAAAAAATAAGAATACTGAGTTAATAAATTTTTAAATATTAATAAATAAGCTTTAGACATCATAGCATTATAAGCAATTTTTAGTATATTTAAGATCCTGTATACAAATAATAGAATTAATACTACCAAAATTAAATAATTAAATGAATATTTAAGTTATTATTATTATGAATAGAAAGTTATTTTAATATTTGAATTGTAAGTCTTTTTTTTTTTATATTTAAAATTCAATAATTATTATATTTGATTCAATTAATAATATATAAAGTTGTAAATATAATGCAATTTTTTAAATTAATTTTTTATGTAATATTAAAATATTATTAGTAATATCTCTTAATTTGTTAAAAAGTAAAACAATTATAATTAGAGAAAACTTGGATAATGATACTTTAAAAATTTAATTTTATATATTAGTTAAAATATAAATTATAATAAAGATAATAATTTTTAAAATAAATATAAGTTTTACTAAAAAATATATATATAAATATCTTTAATAATTATTATTTAATTTTTAATATTATCAATAATTCTTGAAATATCATCATAAATATTTACTTTATTTAATTATTAGATAAATTAGACTAATAATATATTTAAATAGTCACTGGTAACTTCATGATATAATTATATCATGAAGTTACCAGTGACTTAAATTGGATTATGAAGGTAACTTCATAGTCTACTAGTATTTTCATAATATAGTGATAACTTCATAGTCTACCGGTATCTTCATAATATAATAGTAACTTCATAGTCTGCTGGTAGCTTCATAATATAGTGATAGCTTCATACTCTGCTGGTAGCTTCATAATATAGTGGTAGCTTCATAGTCTGCTGGTAATTTCATAATCTAATTACATAATCTGATTGTAACTTCATAACCTACTATTCATAATCTGATAGGGATTTCACAGTCTACTTATAGATAGCTTCTTTGTATTTATATCATTGTTTTAATTGTTTCCTATATATTATGGTGGTGATTTTATAGTCTAATAGTAGATGTAGTGCTTTAATTTAATGGTGATGTCATAATCTAATGGTGTCTGCTTTCTTCTTGTTTCTAATTCGTTTACATTATATATTCTACATTATTAGTTTTGCCTTTCCATTCTTGTTTGAATGCTTGGTTCTAAGTTGAGAATACTGGCGTCCTGCACCTGACTGAGTGTTAGGTTTCATATTGAGGTGTTTACCCTTTACGCCTATTTGGTTGCCTTTTAAAATACTAAAATAGTGTAAAAAAAGAGGTGACAGTGGCACAGTGTATTTGTGATTAATTTTGCCTGGCTCTATAATATAACTCTGGCTGATCTTTTAGACATGTAATTTGAGGATCCAATTTGGTGTTGTATTAGCGTCGTGATAGTGTCCTGGTAATGGAGCAGATTTTTCTAAATCATTTAGCTTCTTTCTATGGTAATATATTTTCGAATAATACTTATTTACATGTAAATTACATAAACCATGAGTTGAGGTATTGGTTTTTCACATTATTTACAAGGGTTTTGCTGACGCCTTTTCTAATAAATTTTGCATCCTTCTTGTCAATTACAAACTCGTTCGCATATATTCTCTTCGTTAGAAAGATATTGGCAAATAAATTCAGCTCTCATTGGGTATCTCTTATATTTCTATATTTATTCTAATCTTTTATACTCTTTTTCGTACAGACATGATCTGTCCTAGTTGTTCTAATTATTTTGAAAACTAGGATGAAAACTAGGACAGATTCTGATATGGGAGAAAAGCTTCTTTCTTTGTTTTAACTTATTCTTTTTATACTTGTCCTAGTTGTTTTAGTAAAAATAAAAATTTTTAAAAAAAAATCGTAATCCATCCTATGGTATATGTATAATATATGTATGCTATATATATACTATATACCAGTATATCTATAGGTAAAAAAAAAAGAAAAGAAGTCCAAAATTTACTAAAACAACCAGAACAACTAGGACAGATTATTTCTTTTCCTTTCATTCGTCTTAAAATTACCATCTAGCTATATTTCATCCCTAGAAAATTTGACAACTAGGACGGAAACTAGGATGGAATTTCTAGAACAGTTTGCTGAGATATATTCTGGATTTTTACAATTTTTTTTCGATGATAATGTTCCCTTGATCTA